GAGATCTGGGTTCTCCTTGCTTCCCCCTTCACAGTACAGTTCTTATTAATCTTCCTCGCTGAAACTATTAAATCAACTGCACATTGAGTGAAAATAGGTTTATATTGCTCTTGATAATTACAACATCCTTCCTGTGCTGTTTTTGGATTACTTTATTTTGTTTTGTTTTTTAACCCTTAGATTATTGGTTTGTGCTCTTACCTTATATTAATCGGAATATAATATTCTGGTGTGGGAACAACATGATTTAATTTTGGGATTCATCAGCTTTTAGGGTTAATTCAGCACCTAGTGTACTTTGGATGCTATCACACAAATATGTGCCCTTTTCTTCCCTTTTCGATTAGGGACCCCGACCTGCTTTGTTTGTGCCTGAAGTTTCATTTGAATTATTGGTGAAGAGGCAAATCAAACGTTTAGAAGAGCCCAGCTTGCGCTGTGTTGAGTTGGTTCATGAGGAAATGCAGAGGATCATCCAGCATTGTAGCAATTACAGTACACAGGTAAAAGCAGAAGTTGACTACTAAGTTTAGAAATGTGTACAAGTGTTCACTGGAAATATAATATTGTAAGATCTGGCTTCAGTGCATTGTGACTTGACTAACAGTATTGAGCAGCCTCTTTTATGTAAAACTTGAGTATCCACATTATATAACAAAGTACAGAGTAAGGCTCTGTCCACGTACATGAAAATAATTCATAACCTTTAAACAGCCTTGTGAAAGTATTCTGTGGGAAATGTGCAAAGAATCTTCGTCATAAGGGTAGTCTGTCATAGTAGTTGGTATTGATTGTTGGCATATGACTCTAATAAGGCACTAAAGTACTTGGCCATAAAGTTCAGATGCTCTAGTTTTGATAGAAGAGATGCAGATACAAGTACTATTATTGAATGCCAAAACTTAATACAATGGTTGAGATTGTTTAGACTGTGACTTGAAGTGTTGTAATTCATAGATGTCACTCCCCACACCAGACTTAATACTATTAAGGATGTAAAAAGTTGTCTGGTTAACTTGTAAGGATGCCCCTTACTGGCATGCTTACCTGGGTAACAGTTAACTGGCGAGGGGCTCAGCCTGGCCCGAGCAGTCCTCCACCCGCAGTGTGGTGTGGCAGGGGCAGATCAACCCACTGCCTGCCGTGCCTATGAGACAAGCCACAGCAGATCTGTATGGGAGCTAGGAAGGAACTTGGAGGTAGGAATGTGAACATGCACCCTTTACATGGTTAACCGATGAGCCTGGGCTCATCAGTTAGCATGCACGGTTACATGCAGTACTCCTCCCTGCCTCTGTATCCAAGGCAGCTGCACAGGGGGGAGGGAGAGTGGCTCCTTGGGATCCACCTGACCCATGTGTAAACGTGTAACTGCTGATGTTTTTTTTCACCGGTTACACATTTACATAAATAAGCATATTTTAACATCCCTATTTGGAGGCACAATCAGCTCAGTGATAGGAATTAGTGTATTATATTTGAAAGACATAAGCAAGGTCAAAACAACTACATTGGGCTATAAAAGATCTCCTTATAGCGCTATTCATTAAAGGACATGTCAATCTCAGCATCTTGGTATATCCTAGTTGAGAACTTCATTCTCTGTCTAAATTTCTCACCAATTTTAATAGGCTATATAACACTAATTTTAATTTACATTGGACATTTTCAAAGGCACAAATTGTAGTTAGGTGATTCCTCTTTGGTCTTAGAAACTTCCCCCAAATATGCCTGCTGGGACAACAATATTGAGCTCTAGCTACTAAAATTATAAACAAGAATGCAGTGTTCCCTACCGTTAACTCTTATTGGTCATTGATTCTGTATTAACCCTGCTTCTGACTGAAATAAAAAAGGACTTGTATCATAGTTCCAATTTGAAAGACAAATTAAGTTCTTGGTTTTAACGTGTGGGTGCTGTGTAGCATTGATGGCTAGATTAAACAGAGATGGTGGTGGTGGTGTGTGTCAGTCTAGATGGGGATGGGCAATTAAAAAACAGCAGCCCGCAGGGTTAGTCCCTGGTGGGCCGTTGCTACTACGTTTACCTGTCCTTGAGGATCGCTGCTCTGGTTGGCCGAGAATTGCCTCCTTCATGACCAATACAAGTGGCAGGAAGCATCACGGAGCAGGATCCCGCTTCCTGCTGCTTGCATTGGCGATCCTCAGATACCTGAGGAGGTGCAGGTAAACATGGAGGTGGGGACCTGCCAGGGAATAACCCTGTGGACTGGATCCGGCGCGCAGGCTGGAATTTGTCCACCCCAGTCTAGATGATCTGCTAGTCCCTTCTGGACTCTCTTACGTTATTTTTTTCCTCCTTATATTCTAGGAATTGCTGAGGTTTCCCAAACTACATGATGCCATAGTTGAAGTAGTGACCTGTCTTCTGCGTAAGAGGCTACCAGTTACAAATGAAATGGTAATTAGTGCTGTTACCATCTTGTATTTCATTCCTGTTTTCTAGCGAAACATTGTTTCTTTGGGTCAGGGTTTCCCAACCTATGGGTTGGGACCAAAATATGGGTTGCCATTACATTTCAAAAGGGTCTCCCAGTGTCTTGCCAGGTGGCTCTCCCCTCCCTGCTTCCCCCGTTTTTGAATTGCCTTAGGTCACCAAGTCTTCCTGAATTATCAAAATGGGTCCCCATCTGGAAAAGGTTGGGAATCGCTGCTTTGGGTGCTTTTATTTTTTAGTGCTTTTGTTTAATATTATATGGTAAAGTTTAAAAAACATTAGACTAAATCAAAATATGCAAAAATAGAAGCTAAATCCATATTTAGGCACCTAAAGTTAGACTCCTGATTTTGAATACCTTGACGCAATGAGGAAAAAATCTCCCTCTTCTCTCTCTTCCCCCCCCACCCCGTCAAAAAAAAAAAGTTTTTATCTTTCACGTTTTAAACCTCTGGCCTTTTCATGACTTGCTAACATGGAAGCTGTGCTTTCATGTACATCTCAGATGCACAAAAATATGTTACTAAACTTACTCCTTCGTTGAGTAGTATGCATATACTGACACTGCTGTTGTGGAGTGCTAGTATAGTCTGTACCACCATGCATCTTGTAGAGAACTGAAAATTCACTATAAGTGCTTGTTCATGTCCATTCTATTCTAAGAGTGTGTGCACCCGTTTGATACAGGCATCAATGGCACCACCATGGTCCCCAGAAGAGGAGATCCTTCAGCATGGAAGAACAGTGTAGCTTCTAGCCAAGACCCCACTGGCACAAATGGGCATCACTTGGGCAGCATGGCCAGCACATTGGCCATTTTGGAGTGCATAGGGCGTGCCAGTTATGGCAGTTCCCCCTTTGAGCATTGCTCATCTGTTCTTGCATTGCAGCATCAGCTAGTGGTATTGGGCTCAGTGCATGAGAACTGCTTGAAGTTTAGGGTGGAGGAAATAGCCCCCATCCCAAAACCCATCTCCCCTGTTGTGGGTGATGCCCCAAAGCCTCCTCTGGTGGTACAGTCATCGTCCTCATCCCGAATGAGCTAGTCGCAAGACACTCGAGGGCCAGTCTGCCAGACAATTTCCTGCTTGTACGGATGGCCGAGAACTTGGGCCTATATGTTGAGGAGATGGCTATGCACCATTTTCAATTCACTGTGCTGCCCTTTGGCTGCTCATCAGCTCTCAGGATGTTCAGAACATCTGAGGCACCCATGGCTGTATACCTGAGATGTCAATAAGTCCAGCTCTTTCTGTATCTTGATGACTGACTCATCAAGAGGTCTCAGGAGCAAGTACAGAAGAACCTTGATCTCATGTGTTCGACCTGCCACGACCTGGGCCTGTTAATAAACAAGAAAAAATCCACTTTAGGCCAGTTCAGCAAATAGACTTCATGGGGGTGTGTCACGGGCTGGGCCCCCCCCCTCAGGCTTACAGCCCGGTCATCATGGGGTTGTCCACCCGTGCGCTTTCCCCTCACCTGTGCGTCCCTTACCAGTTTCCCTGGAACCTAGAGTTTGTGGCTTGATCTGGAGTCCACAGAGTCTTAGACACGTCCACTCTGGTGCGAGGAAGGAGGGGGACTCGGGCCCACCTCCGCTCTGGGTCCCAGCCCAGGACCGTAAAGGCAGCAATGTACTAGTGCTGCCTGGTTGGTGGGGATTCCCCTGTAACTCACCAACCCTCTGGGGTCATCTGGTGGAGGCGGCGCCGCCGTGTCCAACCCCCGTCCTGGGCTGCTTCCTCCTCCTCGTCTGGCTAGTCCTCTCCCCGGCGGGTGCCGTCTTCCCCCCACACCTCTGGTAGGTATCCTGTCAGTGCTCCGTTCGCCGGGTTCTGGCTGGGGCAGCTCCCTCTGCCCCGTGCCTGCCCGGCTGCCTTCCTCCTCCCTGGTGGCCCTCCTCAGGCGTCTTTTGAAGAGCCCACCTATCAAAGCCCCGCCCCTCGCCCTGGTGTGCGGGCTGATGACGTCAGCAGCAGGGGACTCCCCCTGGTGACGTCTGGGCCCCAGGCTACTCTCGTGCAGGCGCCGCGGTGGTGCGTGGACGGCCCTCCAGCTCACATACGCTCCCGCTCCCGGCACCTTCTGCAGCTGCGGGAGGCCCCACGGAATCCCCTCCGGTGCCCCCCTTGCCCTCGGCCTGCCGGAAAGTGCGGGGTGCTGGGTGCTCCGTGCCAGCAGAGCCCGTCACCCCGTCACAGGATGGTTCTCAACTCTGTGCAAACCAGAGTCGTCCTTCCTGAAGTACATTTTCAGGCCATGTAAAGAACCATCTGCTTACCATAGTTCACCCCTGCCTTTGGTTATTGGAGCACATGGCCACGTGTACATGTGTGGTCTTCTCCAGCCTCTGGAAGCATGGCTAGCGTTGGTCTACATCCCCAATAAGCGTGACCTTGACTGGATAGTCAGGGTGCTGGACCACATAAGGTTGTCTCTGGATTGGTGGTTGGATCTGGGTCGGTAACCCTGTCCCCGTCAATGCCCCTGGTCTCCAATATTTCAGGCTTGGGCTGGAGAGCCCACTTTGGCAAGTAGAGCTGGCTGCAGGACAATCTGGCCCTCCATATCAATGTCAGTGTCAATCACTGTGGTTCTTCTGGCCTGCCAGGCATTCTTGCCTAATTTGAAGAGCAAGATGATGTGGATCCTAGGGCACAATGCGTCCATGATGTAGTACATCAGCAGGCATGATGGTGCCAGGTTTTCAGCCCTTTGTCAAGAAGCTCTCCACCTTTTGGGATTTTTGTGTGCGGCATGTCATTTATCTGAGTCACCTGGAATCAGGAACGTCTTGGTGGATCACCTCAGCAGGATTTTCTCCTCTCGCCATAAGTGGTCACTCCATCCCGAGGCAGTCATAATGTTCCAGGGGTGGGGGATATCTGGGCTGTACCTGTTTGTATCCAGGCAAAACAGAAAATGCCACATATTCTGTTAAATTCAGAGTAAGGACGGGTTCCCTATCAGACATCTTTCTTGTCCCACGTTTGGGGCATGAATGTATTCCTTCACTCCCATCCCCCCTCCCCACCCCAAGTGCTGTTAGAGCTTTCGCAAGTGAGATAGGAAGAAGATATGCAAATTCCCGTGGGAATTTGCATATTCTTTTTTGAAAATAGAACGTAATTAGATGTACCCTAAGTGTCTGCTCAGAGGATTTCGGCCGTAGTTTGGAGACCCCTGTGCTATGGTAATGAACTGGTGAAAGTGCCTCTACTGCTGATTGTGATTGCATGCTCAACTAGGGCACAAGCGTTGTCAGGAACTTTTCTGCACAGGTAGCAATCCAAAAGATTTGTAGGGATGCTACCTGTTCCTCTGTCCAAGATTTCGTTTCTCATTATGCACTTACCCAGCAAGCTCAAGACATCACTGGCTTTGGCAGAGCAATGCTATAATCTGCACAGTCATGAACTCCGAGGCCACCTGCATGGATGTTGCTAGTCCATTACCTAGAATGGATCAGCATGAGCAAGAACACTAAAAAGAAGAAAAATGGTTATTTATGTTTCTTGCCTCTTGTTCTTAGGATTGTGTTGCTCATGCCCATTCCATTACCCATCCTTCTACCACTCTGTTGGAGTTGCCAGCAAGAAGGAACTGAGAAGGTACAGGGCCAGTGGCACCTGCTATTCCGACACATGAGTAGGGCACTCAGTGGGGCACTGCATCTGGTCTTGTGGATACTGCTAAATCAGAAATCTCCCAATGACAGCACACACCATCAACGAGCTGACGCACACCTAGAATGGGATGGACATGAGCAACATAATCCTAAGAATAATAAAGAAATGTTCGTGACTGGTTTTTTTTTTTCCTAGCTTCAAACAAGTCTGTCTGTTTCCTTCTTTGAGATTTGAAAACAGTTCTTGGCCTAAGAGGAAGATATTTAAGTTAGTATAATTAGCTATGTCTAATGGCATCAGGGTCTCTGATGTTTCTGTTGCTTGTTACTTTTTTGTAATTTTTTTCTGAAGAAACATCAATAAGTATAGCTTGAGGTAGGAAGGGAGAAGCAGAATCAAAGCAATTGAATGAGAAATTGAAGTAGTAATTGTTGTCTGAATCCGTGTACTGTTTGACCAGTACAAACCTCCAGCTTCTAACCTTCTATTCTCGTGACATAAGCCACAGTAGTTGCCTTATTTTCCTGTTGCTAAAAGTGAGCAGAAATGTTATTTTGTGCAGGGGAGTGATCTCCTTTACTGACTGTGTCAAAGCTAAATCTGGTACTGTGCTCTTTTATCATTTGTACAAATGTAGCCAGGTAATTTGGCTCCCAGTTTATGTTTGGCATTGAAACATTTATGTGCTAAAGCAGTGGTCCCCAACACAGTGCCCGCAGGTGCCATGGCACCTGCCGGGGCATTTATGTGCACCCGCCGAGTGATTGGGGCCGGTCCTGCTCCGGGCGCGCGGCAGCCCCAAAAGGTTGGGGACCACTATGCTAAAGAAAAGCTTTTTAAACTTATCCTCGTGTACAGCTATGTATTTTTTCTTATTATTGATTTACAAAATTGTATAAATTATTAATATTATGGGAAATCACCAAACACTATTTTATTAATAAATTCCTTTGTTAATTCCACAAGCCAAATAGTGTTTATGCAATTGTTCTGAACACATTTATCTGCCTAACAATAAGCCCTTACTGCATCCAATACAGTAACAATATTTATACATATGTGATCAGTATGTTTACCAATAGGCCACACCTAGAAATGACCATCTCACTTCAGTGTGCTCCAGCATGATCAGGTAGAGTCTGACAAAGAGCCCTCAGATTCATGGCTGCCTTTATACCCGCCTGCTAATCTGCCATCTTTAGTAGAAGCCAGTATGATGCAGTTTCTCCTTGCTACTTTCTATCCTTCAAGTCCTCGTCATATCTTCTCTCCTCCCCCCAGTCCTTGCTTTCAGAGCTGAACAGTGGGAATCTTTGGGTTTGTTTTCTTTGAGAGAATTCCTCTTTGTTACTATAGCTCTTGTACTTCGTTACTTTTCAAACCATACATCCTTCCCATACTACAGGTAACACTATTTTTTTTTAATTCTTGTGACCTTTATTTACTTGCTGGGGAGTCTCCACTGGTCCCGAACTATAAAATGAATGTTGTTTTCTTAACCAGACATATGTTGTTAATGTAAAAGATAAGACTTGTTTTGTCTTGGATTGGATTTTCATTTCATTGCTCGATCTTAAGTATAATAGTAGTTTTGACTGATCTTGATCAGAATGAAGTATGATATAGTCTCTTCTAAATTACAAACACATTTTGGGCTATTGAAGCACTGGAGAGCATCAGTGACACTAGGATAATCTGTCAGGTTACTGATTCAAATGTGGTGCAGATTGCTTGTGATTGAAAGTTACTGTGTCACAGCTGTTAGGTTGACAGTATGAAATGACTTGTGATTTAGTCCAATTCCTAGTGAACATGTGTCTGCCTGAAAATGCCATCAATGGTGCCAGTATGTATAGAGTGGGGCAGGGAGAGGGGGGTTTCAACACAGGGAAAAGATTAACTATGCCATAAGAATTTTCTTTTGGGGTCAGAAATGAAGTACAACTGTAGGGTAGTGCAGGAAGAGCCTACACTGTGGGTGTTTATGCTGTGCTATGGATAATTACACTGCAATAGTGCCAGTCCAGCACTATTTCCTAGTAATAAATTAACACGCAAAATCTTAACTATGAATGACTTTTCTGCCTACAGGTTCATAATCTGGTGGCCATTGAATTAGCCTATATCAACACAAAACACCCAGACTTTGCTGATGCTTGTGGGCTAATGAACAACAACATAGAGGTAAGGAAAACACAGCCTTTTAAGTGACACGTTGATTATTTAGAGGGAACTGTAAGTTGAACCACTTTTTTAAAATCTTAACATAAATTGTATTTTCTTATAACTGACCTTGATGTGAAAACATCTATAATAAATACATCCCATATATATAAACTTAAGACATTGATGTTCTATTTCTTTGGAGCATGTTTCTCAAGGCAGTACTAAGTATTCCTTATCCTTTCTTAAATTAACATGTTTTAAAAACACACAAAGCAAAATAAACTCTGAAATGTATCGCAAATACTAATTCCACTTGTTTTAAATGCCGATTACAGTATAAAACAAAACTAATTGACAAGATGCAAACTGTAGAGCAAAGACGGTGCTAATTAATGTACATTGTTTAGCACAAGTGATTGGCTTTTTTTGTCCCCTAAATACCTATTTCTGAGAGCAAACGTAGCCTTACAAATGTTGAGAACAGTAGATGTTACCTATGGCTCCAATTTTGCCATCAGATTTGCACAGGTGGACTCCCATTGACTTAGTGTAGGAACAAGGTCTGTCTGTGACGATCTGATTGCAGGAATGAGAACTCTGTAAGTGCATGTAAATGTATGGTATCTTTTATGTATTCTGAATAGCATATTATATCCTCTTTCTAGCATCATCCTACATATTGAAATCCTTTGTTTCTTCTAAGTTTATAATGCTTTGTCCTTGCTAGAGAGATCTCTCTAGCAGATCACCAGAAAACTCAGTGTTTCTCCTTATTCACGTTGACTTGCTTCAGCTGCTGCTTTGTTGTTCTATAGCTAGTGCAAACTCTCTCCTTTTTTCCTCTTTTGTGCCAGTAATCCTGATTGTGCTGCTCTGGGGAGGTAGCCATGTTAGTCTGTTTCAGCAAAAGCAACAAGGAATCTGGTAGCACCTTGAAAACTAACAGTTTTACTAGAGCTTTTGTGAGTTGCAGCTCACTTCATCCGATGCATGAAATGAAAGAAAAAGAAACAGTAGGGATACAGAGATGGGAATGCTAGTTTTGCTGTAATGCTCCCATCTCTGTACCCCTGTTTCTTTCTCTTTCATTTCATGTATTTGATGATGTGAGTTGCAACACGTGAAGGCTTGTCGCATAATAAAATTATTAATCTTTAAGGTGCCACAAGATTCCGTGTTCATGCTGCTCTAGTAGTCAACTCTTCATGGATTATTTCATATACAAATGTTTTAATGAAGCCTAGAGGGAATCCATTGTAATCTAATCTGTACCTTGGCTTTTAAAGGCTAGAGATTAGAAATTCAGTTTCTTGAGTATACTGCAAAAATTTCTGTCTTGAATGCTTTGTGCATTGAACACTTTGTTCAGTTCAGATTTTGTCAGATTTTAATGATTCAAAACTATCTTGTCCAACCACAATAAAAATCCAATTGTCTGGCATCCAGTGGTCCAGCACTCCCAATAGTCCGGCACTAACTGGAACCTAGAAGTTCTCCAGCCAGCCGGACAATTGGAGCTGATGGCGGAAATGGCACGGCGTGGGGCGAACTCTCCACCTTTTTTGCAGGAAGGTGGGGGAATCTCCACGCTGCTGCCAAGAGTTTCCGGGATGGAAGCGGGCTCCCTACCCCCGAGACTGCAGAAGTTATCACTGAGTGGGGGTGAGGAACAGTGCTGTGGGACCAACTCTGCAGCACCCCAGCTGCTCTGCTCCGCTGCCCGTCAGTTTTGGCAGTGGTGGATTTGGGGAAGTGGCAGAGCAGAGCAGCTAGGGTGCTGCCAGGTTGGTCCCGCAGTGCTGCCCTTAGCCCCACTTGGCGATAACTACTGCAGTCTGGGGGATGGGGAGCCCACTTCCCACCTGGAAACTCTCGGCGGCATCATGGGACTTCCCTCGACTTCCTGCAAAACAGCGGAGGGTTCGCCCCTTGCTGTGCCGTTCCCTGCCCACCCTCCGGATGCAGTGCAGATCCCGGCAGACCCGTCACAGCCCTCTGCCGGAGTACCTCCTGATACTCTGGCATATCCGATAACCCTACCACTTAGGTCCCAAAGGTACTGGATTATTGGAAATCTACTGTAATAGGTTTTTATTTAAAACTTTCTAGTGTGGATACAAGCTACTTTGCAGTAAATATGAGACATGTTACTAGCATCATTCTCTGCAGTATAGGTGCTTGTCTCTGAAGCAATAAAACTTGAATGCACTGACACAGAGTGATACCTAATCCAAGGTTTTTGCTGTTTTTTTTTTTAAAGGAGCAAAGGCGCAACAGGTTAGCCCGAGAATTGCCTTCTGCTGTGCCACGAGACAAGGTGAGTGAATATTGATTTTTTTTTTTTTTAAGTTACTGAATGCACCATTTTTTATCCAAAGCCTGAGAACTATATTGCACGGTTACGGTGCATGAGCATCTTGTTAAATAGATGTGATTTAATGTAGATCATAACTTTTACGCTTTAATGTAGCTTGAGAGAGAATCCAGAGATTTTCTTCCTTCTCTACTGTCTAGTGGTGTTTTTGGGTTTGTTTTTTGAAATCCCAAAGCCAACATGTTTGTTCAAACTTATAAAGCCACTTTTAGAGCTACAGTTGAGAGTGCAGCATTTTATTCTATGGAAGAAAAAAAAATTAATCTGTAACATGAGTTGATTCTCAGACTAAGCCATAGATCCTTTCTGTTTAGTTCCAGCCTGTTGACCAGTACTATTACAGTAGTGCTCTTTCACTTGTATTCCATCAACTCATTTAGGTTTGCAAAATTCTCAGGATAAGTTATGCAGTTGGTAAGTGCACATGAAGCATCACTGACAAAGTGTACTTATCTGTGAAAAATGGGCAATCCAACTGTCATTATTTTAGTGTGTTTTAATGTACTGTGTTGTGAAATTATAATAAAACCCTATTGGTGCAAAACATTTTGTTCGTGAATCTCCAAAATACTGTTTGTAGGAATTGTAGCAATTTGTTGTTTTAAAAAACCGTTAATGTGCTGAACTTTAAAGAAGTGAGAGAAGCTTTCAGAATGTATCCAGTACTACTTTATAGGATTGACCCTAGGATCTGTGTGAGCCAGTTTTTGGAAGAACTGGGAATGTTAAGCAGCACTACAGAGCTTGATGTGTGTGCTGTTTGATCATGCCCATTATATTGTGTTTTTCTCTGATTTCATTGTACTGCTGCATTTTAATCTGCAACATGGGAATTGGCAACGGTTTGGAGGCAAGCTAAGCCAGAGGTGTTTAAATTTTAATTGGCTACTTTTTAGGGCCTTTGGGATTCTTCTCCTGTTTGTATTGTGCTGCTTCTAAATCTACAAGTTAAAAATGTCTTCATGGATAGCTAAAGATGTTTTAATTGAGCGTTTCTTAAAGTGTGTTACTCAGCACACCAGTGTGCCACAAGGCAGTCAGAGGTGTGCCGCGGAGAGAACAGAAAAAATTCTGATCCCCCGCCCCCTGCAGAGCCCATAGATAGCTCCCGCTGTGGCTTGCCCCCCCTCTTCCCCAGCCCTTAGGATGGCCCCTATCCCACGGGACCTCGGGTGCTGTGCAGCCTCCTCCTCCACGTGTGCATGAGGCAGCTTTTAAACAGGCTGCTGTTGCTGGGAGGGGCAAGGGTGTCCGGAGCTGAGGAAGGGTACATCTACACTGCATCCCTAGTTCGGACTAGGGATGCAAAAGGAGACGACAGAAGTAGTTAATGAAACAGGGATTTAAATATCCCATGCTTCATTAACATGATCTCGCCGGCACACTAGTTCGAATCACAGCTGATTCGAACCAGGAAGTGCGCACCGGGATGCGTTAGTTTGGACTAAAGCCCTTAGTCTGAACGTGGTACATCTACACTGCATCCCTAGTTCGGACTAGGGATGCAAAAGGAGACGACAGAAGTAGTTAATGAAACAGGGATTTAAATATCCCATGCTTCATTAACATGATCTCGCCGGCACACTAGTTCGAATCACAGCTGATTCGAACCAGGAAGTGCGCACCGGGATGCGTTAGTTTGGACTAAAGCCCTTAGTCTGAACGTGTCCCGGTGCGCACTTCCTGGTTCGAATCAGCTGTGATTCGAACTATCGCGCCGGCGAGATCATGTTAATGAAGCACGGGATATTTAATTCCCCGCTTCATTAACTACTTCGGTCGTCTCCATTTGCATCCCTAGTCCGAACTAGGGATGCAGTGTAGACGTACCCAAGCTGCTCCTGAACCTCGG